TTATTCATTATTTGTTTACCTCAGTAAAGATCATCCGCCACCATCTTACGCATGATTCACATACCCATATGCACGAAGGAGGTTATTTTCTTTGGAAAAGCAAAAACAAAAAGTTGTCAATGCAATTCATCAGGCATTGCAAAAGAACAAATGTACTGTGCGTTCTCCTCTTTCGGAAGTCCAGCGAAACTTCAAAAGTGAAAGATCATCATTGCTGAATCCTATCATGAGCTTCGGAGCGACTTTACTATCCACCATACATAACGCGGCGAACGCGCGCAGATCCTTACAGTTAACCATCCCCTGAAGCGCGTGATTGCTTAAATCTCTTCTGGATAATTCACCAAGGCGAATCGATACTCTGAGCATTTCCATGCGCAGTACGAGCTGACAGGTGTCCTCTTCATCCCAATCGAGTGAAAGCGCGCAGGTTTCCTCATCGTAGGCGCTTGTTGTGCGCACCATTTGTTTAAACCCGTGAACATCGCGTATCCCAAACATCGTTTCGATGCTGTGATCCACGGTCAGCTGCGGACCCAACTCGTAAAGCGCGCAGATCTGAATTACCTGCACACATCCGTCGTCCTCACGATGCTGATAAACTAGAAGACGACTGGAATCCTCCACGAGTTCGAAGGTCAGGGGATATTTTTCATCAAAACAGCGAAGACTTTTCACGAAAAGGCTACTGTTGATTGCAAGCTTCTGCTTCTCGTCGGTAGATACCTCTTTCCCCATCGATTCTACACTATTATCAAAGCAGATATCTGTATAACTGTAGGGGTGAACCTGCACCGTGGAAACGAGCAAACTGCTGTTGCCGCTATTCTCGGACCAAAACGTCAGCTTTAGGGTATCATCGAACTCGGCGAGATACATTACAGGTTTTAGAATCTCAAGTGCCGTCTCAAAGGTAAAGATTCGCATTATTCCCATCTACGTTTTTTTTTTAAATACACCTTACTCCCTCTCTATAAATAAATAAATATATATATATATATGTATATCGGTACAAGCTTTCTATATTCCTAGTATAATATCCTTAAATGACTTATTGCCGCGGTATCGATTCGAGTTCCTTCGGATAATCGGATCTACCCTTTTGAATGAATAAAAAAATATTTACATGATCACAAATAATAGTTCAAAGAGGAATATTATCAATCAACAAGACGAATCTAGTTCAAAAGTAGCAACACTAACATAAAAGGTGCATGGATATATATATATATCTAATATTGAAAATTTTCCTTTTTTTTTCTTACAAACACGTAGTTATGTATTTCATTCTCCATTCTTTGACGTGTCCTTCAAATTAAACCCCTCGTGTAGGTGTCTTAGAGCGCTATCAGGCCCTTCGAGCTCGACGAGAGCCGCGACCTTACGCTTCAAGTCATCTCTGGCTTCCTCAATGAGGGATTCAACCTCTCGCTGCTCCCATTCTAGATACTTAATCGTCGACGCGTGCGGGAGATCGCAGGAGACAAAGGTGGATCCACTGCATAACATCCAGACGTCTTCCATATCAGGTTTATGCTTAAAGATATGGCGCTTTGCTTCTCGAATTTGATTTTGTCGGCGATCAAGCTCGATCAAGTAAAATCGTGCCTCGGAGACCTGATCGACGGCACACTCAAGGTCTATTTGTTCTTTAGAGATATTGTCCATTGCACCATGGCAAGTTATCTTGTTTGAGGTTTGTCAACGAAAGAAAGTTTAAGACCGCCAAAGGGAAGAGATATAAGAGATTTAAATAGAGACAACCATGCTATGTGGAGATCTACATCCTACAACGTCCAATATAAAGTAAATAAAATATCAGAGAAATACATCCAGAATGGGAAGACTTAGCTATAAAATACTATAAAATAGCACAATCCTCGTATTGAATGAATTGGTCTTGTTTTTCAGTTTTCCCATTCTAGATATTTTTTATAACTTATTTTTTTTCTCCATAAATTAAAATATATTCGATGATCATTCGTCTGTTGTGTGCATTTTATCTTATACAGCATCAAACAATCTTTTCAATATCAGCTTTTCTTTATATAATATAATAATAATAATAGAAAAAAAGGTTAGGATTAAGTGTCGTGGTAGGTGATACCGAGGTGTTGAACCCCTCTCCCCCACTCCTTACTTTTTTTATTAGGCGCTTTGCGCGGCATCCGCCTTGACCTCGCCGCAGTCCGCGATCTTAATGGATGTCCGTGTCTCGCCGTTCCGGTTACCCTGCTCCTCCATCTTCATCACAACGTCATAGCCCTCGATGACCTGCCCGAAGACCACATGCTTCCCGTCCAACCACTCCGTGTTCGCCGTGCAGATGAAGAACTGCGAGCCGTTCGTGTTCGGGCCAGCGTTCGCCATGGAGAGCGTTCCCGGGCCGAAGTGCTTCCCTGCTCGCCCGGAGAAGCCCTCATCGGGGAATTTCATGCCGTAAATGGACTCGCCGCCAGTTCCATTCCCCACCGTGAAGTCCCCGCCTTGGCACATGAAGCTCGGGATCACGCGGTGGAAGATGCTGCCTTTATACCAGAGCGGCTTTCCAGAGCGGCCGGCCCCCTTTTCACCTGTGCAAAGCGCGCGGAAGTTCTCCGCGGTCTTCGGTACGACGTCCGCGAAAAGTTCCATCGTGACCCGTCCCGCCGGCTGCGCGCCGAGTTCGATGTCGAAGAAAACGATGGGGTTCTTCGGGTTTACTGGGTAGAAGGGGATCTTCTTCGCTTGCTTGAACATCTTCAAAAAATTGGCTTTTTAAAAATAATAATAATAATAATAATAGAATACTAGCTCGTTAAGGTATGCTAATAGTGGTGAACGTGTAATCTTTTAACAATCACAGAAGAGCATTGAATGATGCACATAAAAATTAAAAATAAAGGGTGAAGAGAAGAATCGAGATAAAACCCCTGCAACACCTCAGGTTTCCTCCATAGCATCAAACTATTAAAATATTACCCCCATCCAAAAAAATCAATAATATATAGATATATATTTTTTCATACCTCATTTGGTATCACCAATTTACCCCCAAAGGCATTCAAAAGCTTTAGTTTAGCTGTTGTAAGGATCCGAAGTCACGTCGTGCCCACGGCGTCCAGCCTTTTTCAACAAGAATTTAATGCCATTCCTTAGGCCTATACATTACGGTGGCGCGGTTGGGGTGTGCTGTTGCTTGAGGTAGTCAAGAATGCGCTGGCACGGGCGGCGGTCGTGGTGCTTGGCCATCGCCAGCGTCGTCAGATCGACGACGATGTGGGGGGAGCGATCCCCCAGAAGCCGCAGCACCTCCTCGAGGACCGGCCGGAGGCCCACCGTCTCGTCGAGGTCGTCCAGGTAAATCAGGAGCTTCTTCGCCAGCGGGACCATCTGCGCGTCGAGCTCGTGCAGGACCTGCGGGGCGACGTCGTGGGGCTGCTGCAGGACCTCGCGCAGGGCCGCCGCGCCGCGGAGCCGGATCTCCTCGCTGGCGTCGTCGAAGCGGAGGAGCAGGGACTGCACGACCGCGTTCGCCGCGCCCTCGTCCATCGGGAGCCGGCAGAGCGCCGCCAGGGCCGTGACGCAGACCAGCCGGACCTCGCCGTCGTCGCAGTCGGCGGCGGAAGACCAGTGCCGCGCGAGGGTCGAACCCAGGCCCGGCGTCAGCTGGGCCGCGAGGGACTCCCGGCACGCCCGCTGCGCCACCGCCGCCACGCAGTTCACGGCGACCTTGCGGAAGAGGTGCGGGACCGCGCCCGGGCGCCCCGCCGCGAAGGGCAGCACCACCCCGCGCAGCAGCCCCGCCAGGTCGTCCCCGGCGAAGACCCCGGGGTGGGCCC